CAGCAGGAAAGAGGAGAAATCTTGCTGGGTTTCTATCAGAAATGTTATTACCAACAGGCTCCTGCAGAATCCTTGCAGGGCCACCCTCAGGCTACAGCAAGACTGGCAGAGGGAAGGACACCTTGACATGACACTGGGCAAGAGGCAGAGCCAGAGAGCAGAGCATTGCTAACTGAAGGACACAGTAGCTAGAGGACACCTACCTTTAATCCATCTTTAAACCAGGTTCCTATCACATCCTCTTTACTGACAGTGCAAGACAGCTCAGCTGGTTCCCCTTTCAGGACTCTGACGTTAAGTAACTGCTTGTTGACATAACAGCGTGGCACTGAAAGTGTTGAAAAGACACTAACTCTGAGTTACACTGGCAGAGAGAAAGGTAGAGATGAAAATGCATGTGCACAAGAGGAGAAAAGAGCTTTGAAATTATATATATACACTGCAGCCAGGACAGACTTTGTACAACTCTGTGGGCCAGTTGGCAGAAACTCATTGCACTGAAGGGACACGCCAAGTAGCTGCACATAATCCAGCCCTGACATCAAGCTAAGGGGAATGGAGTCCTCACAAATCACAGTCTCCATCTACAGATTTGCCATTTTGAGCCTATGCCAATTGCCTTGGTTTCCTCTACAACCAGTGGGAAAAAAACAGGCTATTGCTAGTCAGATGTGGATAGGCTACTGCACTGTTCTTCTCCTCTGCATTGACCAGGCACAGGGCTGCCCAAGCACTTCCCCCTGAACAGCCCCAAGTCACACTGTTCTCCATCCCCCATATTCCTCTTCCCCTTCACAGAATCACAGAATCACCAAGGCTGGAAAAGACCTTTAAGATCATAAAGTCCAGCCTACGATCTGACACCACTACATCTCCAGACCATGGCACAAAGTGCCACCTCCAGCCTTTCCTTGAACACCTGCAGGGATGGTGCCTCTACCACTTCCCTGGGCAGCCCATTCCAATGCCTGATCATCCTCTCCATGAGGAAGTGCTTCCCAAATTCTTCATTATTATCCTCATCCCCTCTCTAATAAACACCCCACCTCCTCCCCCATTAACTCCTATATTGTTGATTTTACTTCCTTACTTATAGTTCTGTTTTGCTTGCCTTGATAACTCCTCAGCCATTCCATTGGGTGACTATTCCCCTTTGGTTGTACATCTGAAGCTTCTCATCTCCACAATTTCCACATCATCATCTTGCTGGTTTAACCACTGGCCTCTAGACAAATGGCTGCATACACTTTTAGTCTCCTTTTACTATATGCAAGACCTTTTATTTCTGATGTCACAAGAGAAAAGAGCTCTTTACATTATCCATATTAACTTGGAACAACACAGATCTTTGCTCTAGTTGTTAGAACAAATGAAGTGAAACAGTAAGTTTTAAATCAGAACCATATTAAAGAAACATGGTGCACTGGTTTGGGCTGGGACTGAGTTAGTTTTCCTCACAGTAGCTGCCATGGGGTGTTTGTTATTGCTGAGCAGGGCTTGCATGGACTCAAGGCCTGTTCTACTCCTCAACTGGGGGTGCACCAGGAGTTGGGAGGGGACACAGCCAGGACAGCTGACCCCACTGACCACAGGGATATTCTAGACCATATGACATCAGCACAAGGCTGGGGAAGAAGGAAGGAGGATGTTTGGAGTGATGGTGCTTGTCTCCCTGAGTCACCATTAGGTGTGATGGAGCCCAGCTGTGCTGGAGGTGGCTGGTGGGAAGGGGTGGATGAACCCCTAGTTCTGCTTTCCTTGTGCATGGGGCTTTTGCTTTACCTATTAAAGTGTCTTTATCTCAACCCAGGAGCTTCCTCATTTTTACCCTTCTGATTCTCTCCCCAGCCCACCAGAGGGAGTGAGCGAGTGACTGTGGGGGCTGAGCTGCTGGCTGGGGTTACACCTTGACATGTGGCTGCAGTCCTGGAAACTAAATGGGAACCAGGATGTTTGTGACCTGGGGGCTGTTCCACATGGAGCTGAACCATTTCTGTAAATGAACAGATCATAGAATCACAGAATCATAGGATGGCAGGTTGGAAGGGACCTCAAGAACCATCTCATCCACCCTTTCTGGTTTAAATGAGGTGGCCCAGCAGCCTGTCAAGCTGAGTCTTAAAACTGTTCAATGTAGGGGACCTCCCCTTCTCTTGGGAGATTATTCCAGTGTCTAACTTCTTATGGCAAAACATTTTCTTCTGGAGTCCAAGCAGAACCTCCCAAGGAGTAACTTGTGCCCATCAACCCTTGTCTTCTCCATGTGACTCCTTGTAAAAAGGGAGTATTCCCTGTTGTGGATGATTTCAGCAAAAGATCATCTAGACTTCTAAGAGTTTGACCTGAGCAAATTGCCTAAGGTCAAGCAGCAAATAGGTGGTGGAACAAGGAACAGGTTGTGGTATTACCACATTTCTACATTTGTCTAAGCCACAAGAATCAATTTCTGTCCAGGATTAGGAACATGAGAATCAAAAAGCAAAGACCAGCAAGTCATCAAATCAGCACATACCTCTCAGATCATCTAGGGAATAATGTCTTCTTTTTTCAGTACTTTCTGTATTCTTCAAGAAATCATATGCTTTCATCTCAAGGTCGGGTTCCTGATTTCTCAGGTTTATGGAAAGAGGTCCACGATAAAGATCTGGTATCTGACCAAAATCTGATGGACTTTGACCAAAACCACCTGAATTCTTCCCGCCAACAGATCTATTATGGGGTTTTCTCCCTGCTCCTCCAAGGACAGAACTTTTGCCATAACGGGACTCTACATATCCTAAATCTCTGCCCTCACCCCTGGCATCTCCTTGACCTGAAAGTGACTCTTTCTGAAGAGCTGAACCTTCTTTCCCTGATCCTCTGAGATCATTGGTAGTGCCCTTTCCAGTTTCACCTCCACTAGAAGATTTGCCAGGATGTGAGTCCAGCCCATATCCACCACCTCGCCCAACAGCACCTACCACACCATCTTTGCTTTGGACTGAAGATAACTCCCTTTCATCAGCTCCCAACCTGCCACCTGCACCCACACCAGCCCTGGCTCCAGCTGACCCATAGGGAGACCCAGCACCCCACCCAGCAGAACCACCAAGACCATCACCTTCTGAGAAAAAGCCATCTCCTCCTGCTCCACTGACATGACCATAACCTCTGCTCAGCAGAGCATCCCTGCCATAGTGAGATCCCATTACTTCATCTCCTCCAAAAGGAAAACGAGCAGCTCCTGCCACAGCCCCAGCTGGAAGACCATCCTTTCCATAATGAAAAGCAATTCCCCCTGCACCAGCTACACCAGAACCACCAACACCCACTCCAGCAGGGAAACCATCCCTTCCATAAGGAGATCCAGGTCCCCCCACACCAGCTCCACCAGGAACACCAACACCAGCCCCAGCTGGAAGGCCATCCTGTCCATAGGGAGATCCAGGTCCCCCCACACCAGCTCCACCAGCACCAGCTGGAAGGCCATCCTTTCCATAGGGACCCCCACCTGCCCCCACACCAGCTCCACCAGGAACACCACCAGCAGCCCCAGCTGGAAGGCCAGCCTTTCCATAGGGAGAACCAACTCCTCCTGCATCAGCTAAACCAGCACCACCAACACACACTCCAGCAGGGAGACCATCTTTTCCATATGGACCCCCAGCTCCCCCTGCACCAGCTACACCAACACCAGCTGGGAGACCATCCTTTCCATATAGACCCTGGGTTCCTCCAGCACCAGTTAAACCAGCAACACCAACACCAGCCTCAGCTGGGAGACCATCCTTTCCATAGGGACCCCCAACTGTCTCCACACCAGCTCCACCAGGAACACCAACACCAGCCCCAGCTGGGAGCCCATCCTTTCCATACGGACCCCTAGCTCCCCCTGCACCAGCCCCACCAGCCCCAGCTCCAGCAGCACCAGCCCCAGCAGGGAGGCCATCCTTTCCATAGGGACCCCCAACTGTCTCCACACCAGCTCCACCAGGAACACCAACACCAGCCCCAGCTGGGAGCCCATCCTTTCCATACGGACCCCTAGCTCCCCCTGCACCAGCCCCACCAGCCCCAGCTCCAGCAGCACCAGCCCCAGCAGGGAGGCCATCCTTTCCATAGGGACCCCCAACTGTCTCCACACCAGCTCCACCAGGAACACCAACACCAGCCCCAGCTGGGAGCCCATCCTTTCCATACGGACCCCTAGCTCCCCCTGCACCAGCCCCACCAGCCCCAGCTCCAGCAGCACCAGCCCCAGCAGGGAGACCATCTTTTCCATAGGGAAAACCAACTCCTGCACCAGCTACACCAGGAACACCAACACCAGCCCCAGCTGGGAGACCATCCTTTCCATACGGACCCCCAACTCCCCCTGCACCAGCCCCTCCAGCACCTCCAAAACCAGCCCCAGCAGGGAGGCCATCCTTTCCATATGGACTCCCAGGTCCTGCTGCAACAGCTCCAGCTCCACCAGCCCCAGCAGGGAGACCATCCTTTCCATAGGGAAGACCATCTGCCCCCACACCAGCTCCAGCAGCAGCACCAATACCAGCCCCAGCAGAGAGACCATCCTTTCCACAGGGAAACCCAACTCCTCCTCCACCAGATACACCAGGAACACCAAGGCCAACTCCAGCTGGGACACCATCTACTCCATATGGAAAGCCAAATCCTCCTGTACCAGCTACACCAGCACCAGTAACACCAGCCCCAGCTGGGAGACCATCCTTTCCATATGAACTCCCAACTCCTCCTGCAAATCCTCCACCAGCACCACTAACACCAGTCCCTGCTGGGAGACCATCCTTTCCAAAGGGAGATCCAGCTCCTCCTGCACCAGCTCCACCAGCACCGCTAAATCCTGCTCCAGCTGGGAGACCATCCTTTCCATAGGGACCCCCAACTCCCCCTGCACCAGCTACACCAACACCAGCTGGGAGACCATCCTTTCCATAGGGACCCCCAAGTCCCCCCGCACCAGCTCCACCAGCACCAGCTCCACCAGCCCCAGCTGGAAGGCCATCTTTTCCATAGGGACCCGCAAATCCCCCCACACCAGCTCCACCAGCAACACCAACACCAGCCCCAACAGGGAGACCTTCCTTTCCATAAGTATACCCAGGTCCACCAGCTCCAGCTGGGAGATCATCTTTTCCATAGGGACCCACAAATCCCCCCACACCAGCTCCAGCAGGAACACCAACACCAACACCAGCTGGGAAACCATCCTTTCCATAAGGACCCCCAAATCCCCCTGCACCATCTCCACCAGCACCACCAACACACACTCCAGCAGGGAGACCATCTTTTCCATATGGACCCCCAAGTGCCCCTGCACCAGCTCCACCAGCACCAGCTGGAAGGCCATCCTTTCCATAGGGACTCCCAAATCCCCCTGCACCAGCTCCACCAGCCCCAGTTGGAAAGCCATCCTTTCCATAGGGACCCCCAACTGCCCCCACACCAGCTCCACCAGCAACACCAATGCCAGCCCCGACAGGGAGACCATCCTTTCCATAAGTATACCCAGGTCCACCAGCACCAGCTCCAGCAGCACCAGCCCCAGCAGCACCAGCCCCAGCAGGGAGACCATCTTTTCCATAGGGAAAACCAACTCCTGCACCAGCTACACCGGGAACACCAACACCAGCCCCAGCTGGGAGACCATCCTTTCCATACAGACCCCCAACTCCCCCTGCACCAGCCCTTCCAAAACCAACCCCAGCAGGGAGGCCATCCTTTCCATATGGATACCCAGTTCCCTCTGTAACAGCTATGCCAGCACCACCAAAGCCTGCTCCAGCAGGAAGACCATCCTTTCCATATGGAGCCCCAACTGTCCCTGCAATGGCTACACCAGCAGCATCAACACCCCATCCAGGAGGGAGACCATCCCTTCCATAGGGAGATCCAGGTCCCCCCACATCTGCTTCACCAGGAACACCAAGACCACCTCCAGCTGGGAGACCATCCTTTCCATATGGAACCCCAACTCCCCCTGCACCAGCTCCAACAGCACCTCCAAAACCAGCCCCAGATGGAAGGCCATCCTTTCCATAATGAGAACCAACTCCCCCTGCACCAGCTCCTCCTGCACCACCAAATCCCCCTCCAGCAGTCAGACCATCCTTTCCATAGGGAAAACCAACTCCTCCTGCACCAGCTAAACTAGCATCACCAACACCAGCCCCAGCTGGGAAACCATCCTTTCCATAGGGAGACCCAAATCCTCCTGCACCACCAAATCCCCCTCCAGCAGGGAGGCCATCCTTTCCATAATGAGACCCAACCCCCCCGGCACCAGCTCCTCCTGCACCACCAAATCCCCCTCCAGCAGGGAGGCCATCCTTTCCATAATGAGACCCAACCCCCCCGGCACCAGCTCCTCCTGCACCACCAAATCCCCCTCCAGCAGGGAGGCCATCCTTTCCATAATGAGACCCAACCCCCCCGGCACCAGCTCCTCCTGCACCACCAAATCCCCCTCCAGCAGGGAGGCCATCCTTTCCATAAGTATACCCAGGTCCTGCTGCACCAGCTCCAGCAGAACCAGCCCCAGCAGGGAGACCATCTTTTCCATAGGGAAAACCAATTCCTCCTGCACCAGCCCCACCAGCACCAACACCAGCCCCAGCTGGGAAACCATCCTTTCCATAGAGAGACCCAACTCCTCCTGCACCAGCGAAACCAGCACCACCAAATCCCCCTTCAGCAGGGAGACCATCCTTTCCATAAGTATACCCAGGTCTCCCCCCTGCATCAGGAGCACCTAATCTCCCAACACCCCCAAAACCAGCTCTGTAACCAGCATCACCCAATTTTCCATCCTTATCATGCTGAGAGCCCACACCTTCTCCATCTGCAAGGTTAGCAGCACCCAGCATACGACCATCTGTGCCATCTACAGGACACCATTCACCTGCTCCTCCTACTTCATCATCTGCTCTTCCTGTCATAGAATCCTTGCCATGGACAGGCCTTAAGCCACTTCTGCCTCCTAAGCTTTTTAATCCAAAGATACTACCATCCTTTGGCCCTGAGTCTCCATCTGAGTCTGCTCCAGAAAACTGCCCTGTCTTTTCATTTTGTTGGACCTTCCGTAGCCCTTTCTTTCCCAAAAATCTGTGGCCTCCATCAACATCAGAGTGGCCTTCACCATTTCTGTACCAGCCATCTTTCTCCACGCCAGTGTCCATAAGATCATCTTCACCAACACGTTCTCTGTGTCGAAGTTTCTTTGCCTGTTCTGGCAACGTTTCTTTTGGCCACTCCAACTCCCCCCTTTCGTCTCCTTCACCCTGTTTCCTCTTCCCTTTGGCATCTGTGTTCGAGATGCATTGTTTAATTGGAGAGAGAATTTACATAATTGACAGGAAAAGAGAGAAGGGGGAAAAAAAAAAAAGGACAATCAATAGGTCATGTACTGCACCAACAACCAAAGACAATGTGTTAGAATCTGTTACTATTTCATTCTAGGACACAGAAGCATTAATATATTTAAATAAATTTAAATTCAGTTCAGATCCTGAATTTTTTCAGCATCACATTCAGACACAATTTTACATTTCTTACTTAAAAAAACAATTACTTTTAGTGGAAACATGCTTATTAAAAACAAAGAGAACAAGCAGGAAAACAAGGCAAGTTTCCAGCATGACAGGTCTAATTTTGAGGGGTTTAGATTGTATTTGGGACTCATGAGTTCCCTCTGGCTTCTCCCTCCAGCCCTGGAGGAGATACAGAATATCCCACAGAGTGGCCATCAGCTCCCAGCAGGACCTCACTGCTACTCAGGCAGCTTGAACACTTGGTATCCTGGCATTTTAGAGATGGCCAACTTGAAGGCCAGAGATACTCAACCTGCACTGTTCCTCAAAGTTCCTCAAAAAGCCTTTCTGAGAGAGACCACCTCTTCCTGTAGCTGGATGTCAAAAGAGACTTAAATAACCACCTTTCAGAAGCAAAAAAAATACTACTCAACAGATTGTTAATCTGCTGGCACTGGGAGGAGTGTTTCCCAGCTTCCTTCGAGCTTCTTCTATCATGTTTAACCTCTAATTTGGAAAGAAAAATACTATCGAGCAAGATAGTATTAAATAGTATTGATGGTAAACACTTGATAGTATTGGAAGCTTCTCAGTCCCCTGGATGCTGAACTGTGGTCACACAGCAACAGCTTCACCAAGAAAACACATTGAGATGTGGATTATTTTTTGATAATTTATGGAGATTGTGCTACTTCATGGAATCACAGAACTATAGACTGGTTTGGGTTGGAAGGGACCTTAAAGATCATCTAGTCCCCCCCCCCATTGCCATGGGCAGGGACACCTCCCACCAGCCCAGGCTGCTCCAAGCCTCATCCAACCTGCCCTTCAACACTGCCAGGGATGGGGCAGCCACAACTTCTCTGGCTGTCAGCGTTTCACCAACCTCACACTAAAGAAGTTCCTTCTAAAGTCCAACCTAGATCTCCCCTCTTCCAGTTTGAAACCATCACCCCCTGTCCCATCCCATCCCTGCCCTCGTCCCAAGCCCCTCCCCAGCTTTCCTGGAGCCCCTTCAGGCACTGGAAGCTGCTCTAAGGTCTCCCTGGAGCCTTCTCTTCTCCAGGCTGAACACCCCAACTCTCCCAGCCTGGCTCCAGAGCAGAGCTGCTCCAGCCCTCCCATCATCTCCGTGGTCTCCTCTGGTTTCACTCTAGCAGCTCCTCATCCTTCCTGTGCTGGGGGCTCCAGAACTGGATCCAGCACTCTAGGTGAAGCCTCACAAGAGGGGAAGAATCTGCTCCCATGACCTGCTGGCCACACTGCTGGTGATGCAGCCCAGGATATAGCAGGCTTCTGGGCAGCAAGTGCACAAGTATTTCATGGTAAGTATAGAGTAAATAAGCTGATAGAATTTGTCAGGACTAATAAAAAAGTGAAAAAACTGTCTCATCTGAAGAAGAAAGGGGTCTAGCCAGACCTTGAATTTTCCAAATATAATTTAGGAACTAGTGGCTGCATAATTAATTTCTCAGGATAGAACCATCTCAGTGAGCAATCAGGCAGTGAGAGGAATATTATTGTGTTAACACACCTCAAGGCAACACCTTGGGAATTGTCACTTACACTCAACGATAAGCCAGGCGTTCGAGGAGCAGAGTCCAGTGTCCAGTGTGTACATGCCATTGTCAGAGGGCCCAACATTTTTGATAACCAGCTTGTGGGTCAGGCCATCAGGTGTTACAGAGATCTGGTACTTCTCACTTGGCTCGAGGAGGTGGGTTTTGTGCAGCCACACAGCATCATAGCAGGGCGTGCGGAGGACGCACTCGAAGGTGGCGTCTTCGTCCTCGGGACAACGCGCGTCGCTGAGGGGCTGCTCGAACCTCACAGGGATGGCTACAATGGAAGCAGCACAGAATTGCTCTGGTTTGAAAAGACCATTAAGATCATCGAGTCCAACCATTAACCCAGCTCTACCAAGTCCAGAGCTAAACCATGTCCCTCAGCACCACATCTACATGGCTTTTAAACACCTCCAGGGATGGGGAAGCAACCACCACCCTGGGAAGCCTGGGCAAGTGTTTAATTATCCTTTCAGTTAAGAAATTTCTTCTAATAGCAAATCTAAACTTCCCCTGGTGTAACTTGAGGCCATTTTCTCTTGTTCTGTTACTTGTTACTAGGGGGAAGAGACCAACCCCCCCGGCTCCAACCTCCTCTCAGGCAGTTCCAGAGCCAGCAGGTCTCCCCTCAGCCTCCTTTGGTCCAGGCTGAACAGCCCCAGTTCCTTCAGCTGCTCCTCATCTGACTTGTGCTCCAGACCCTTCCCCAGCTCTGTTGTGTTTCTCTGGACACACTACAGCTCCTCAAAGTCCTTGTCATGAGGAGACCAAAACTGACCCCATTTGAGGTGAGACCTCACCAGTGCCGACCACAGGGGGATTATCCCTGCTCTGGCCCTGCTGGCCACATTATTGATGACATGAGCCTTTGGCCTTCCTGGGCACCTGGGCACACACTGGCTCATATTCAGCTGCTGTCAGCAAACACCCCCAGGTCCTTTTCTGCTGTGCAGTTTCCAAGCCACTCTGCCCCAAGCCTGTCATGCTGCTGGGGGTTGTTGTGACTGAAATGGAGGTCCCAGCACTTGGCCTTATCAAACCTCATCCCACTGGCCTTGGCCCATCAATCCAGCCTGTCCAGGTCCCTCTGTAGAGCCTTCCTGCCCTAAAGCAGAACAACACTGCCTCTCAACTTGGTGTCAACTGCAATCTTCTCACTGTCATGCAGAAGTCAGAGTCAAACTGGTACTTGCACCTAGTCCTTCCAACTACAAATACCACACCCACATGACAAAACCACCTTCCTTCTCTTTTTCACCTCAGACTTAGAAGGAGCCTTACGTGGCCACACAAAACCAACCTGCTGTAGTTATCAGGTTTTGCTGCTGAGCTTTGCAGATATTCCTAGAAAAGCATTTCCAGCAAAAAATAATTTCTTGTTAGAGTTTCATATCACATACATTTAACTTGATTCCTTACACTCAGGGTCCAGTGCAGTTGAGAAAACAGGTACATCCTCCACTCTGACTTGGTACAAGCCTGCATCTTCTGGCTGCACATCATTGACAATGAATAGATACTTTTTCCCAATTCTCCTCAGGCAGTGCTTTCTGTATTCATCCCCTGTTCCATATCTGAGCCGCTGACCATCCTAGGAAGAGAATCACAGAACAATCATGGTTGGAAAAGATCTCTAAGATCACCTAGTCCCACCTTTCACCTGGGGTGGAGGGGTTGGAGGAAACAACACAACCTACCCAAACACACAACAAAAACAACAGCAAAAACCCCCACAAACACACACTCCACAAAACCAACAACACACAACCCACAAAATACTCCCCATGCCCACCAGAGCATGCCTGGAAGTGCCACATTTACACATTTCTTGAATCCCTCTAGGGATTGTGACTCCACCACCTCCCTGGGCAGCCTGTTCCAGATCCTGACCACTATTTCAGTAAAGAAATTCTTCCCAATATCCAGTCTAACCTTCCCCTGGCACAACTTCAGGTCATTTTGTCCTCACTTGGGAGAAGAGCCCAACTCCCACCTCCCTACAACCTCCTTTCAGGGAGCTGTAGAGAGCAATGAGGTCTCCCCTCAGCCTCCTCTTCTCCAAACTAAACCGTCCCAGTTCCTTCAGCCTCTCCTCATAGGACTTGTTGTCTAGACCCTTTACCAGCTTGGTTGCTCTTCTCTGGACATGCTCCAACAACTCAAAGAGTGTGCTCATAAAGCTACTTGCATAACCAGTGCAAGGCATTTCAAACATATCAGACCAGACTTGTGACATGATCACCTTATTGATATGAACGAGTAACAGGAGAGAAGCTGACACTGTTACTACTGACAATAGACATGGCTCATTTTTTTATGCTGATTGCCCACACACAGGCAACACTGTGAGCAGTAAATCCTAAACAGAGCAGAGCATCAGACCTTCAAAGTAAGGAAAAGAATCACATTTGCTCACTCATGTAGGGTCTTGAAGCTGAACTAATACAGAGTTACTGTAACTTTGAAGACAAAGTACTTTCTTTGCTTAGGTTTTAGCATCCTCATAAATGGACAAGCAGGTGAGTCCAACATCTTCCCACCTGTAACACACTCAGGTTTCCTTCTGCATCTTGTGGCTGCACAAACTTCATGCCATGCATTTGATTTAGGATTTCACAGAGTTAGTCTGACCTCCTTTTTAATTAATTTCTATTTCCCTGTATCAAAGCCACTAACCCCAGTTTGACTGGAGTGTAACTTCCAGAAAAACATCCACAGCACTGATCACCTAGGGATCACAGCAGGATAACTAGAGAACTAGATGGGATGTTTTACTTTCTTGAGATTTTTCCTTCACAGAAGTGAATTATTAGTGGAATAACATACTCCAGAAAGTGAATAAAATCCTTGTTTATTTCTTATGTGAGACTGCAGAACTTCTGCAGCCTGAAAGACAGTTATAATTTCCTCTTACCAGATGAGCTCTTGAAGTCAAACAGATGTTGTACCTGTTTTCCCTGTACTTGGATCTACAAATCCCAAGTGATGTTCACCACCATAGGCTACCTGGACCTCCCCACCACCACTTCTCCCTAACCAAACCAGGATTCTGCAATGGACAGACAACTTTAACCACCTTATTTTCTCTCAGCCACTGCCCAGCAGATCAAATATTTTATGTAGAAAACTTGAGTGCTGCTATGAGCTGAGCAACTCATCTCACCCGCTCACCTTAAGGAGATAAACTTTGCTGTTACTGTTTTTCAGGTTCATCTCCAGGCTGAATGTAGCTTTTCCCTCTTTGTTGACTTTGATGTGTGTGAAGTTTTTGATACTGTGTAATAACTGCAAAGAAAGAGACAAGAACCTAGTCAGTGACAAGGCTGCCATGACAGATGTCCTTAAACTGTTGAACTAATGTGAAATCTACTCTTTCTGCTCAGTAAAGAGCTACTTCTAATTTTATGTGTATAGAAGAACAGATTTTCCAGATTTTCCTCCTGTAGGCAAATTATATTTTATGTGCCACCTCCTGGTCATTCACACACTAGGCAACCACTGTCTGCCCAGGTTTCTACATATCCCTGTATATGAAGAAAAAAAATTGACTCTCAGGCATATAACCTTTAAATTTGGGGTCCAAATTCTCATTAGAGGCAACTGGATAGAGATTTTAGCAGTGTAGTTTAATAAAAGCATTGTATCTCCTAAAATTAATGGAGCAACTTCAAAAACAGCCAATGGCATTTTCAGCTGTGGGCTAAAGAGGTAGGACTTCTTTAAAACATTGTCATAAATCATTCTCTGTCATGATACAATAAAATTTTAACCTACAAAACCATTTACTAAGGTTTAGCCCATTTTCAGAAGCTACTAAGGAACTACAGGATTCTGCAATTGGTTTAAAAATCAGTTATTTCAGTTATTTCAGTTTATATTACCTCTCCTTGTTCACTCTCTGTGTCCTTCCTTAACTCCTGCAGCTTTTTCAGCATCCCACGGAAGTCACCAATTCCATATTTCATACAGATTTTCTCATAATCTCTTTTATCTGCATGCAGCAACAATTGCCAGACTGCATCTTTGTCCAAAGGTTTTGGTTTTGTTACTGGAGCCCTTAGAACCAGGGGAAAAACAACAAAAAAAGATCTAGCCATTTTGACAGACAACAAGATGTTTTGTTTTAATGTACTAAATCTTCTTTCATTTCTCTCTCCTTAATTTCTGTAGTTCACTTGGCCCTGTAGATACAGATAAGAAAGAATGGGACTATCCTGGGACAGGTTTTCTGCATCTGTACTACAAACTAGATGTTGCCAGGGAAGAGTCTTGCCCTGGGCCATATAGGACAAGCCTGTAATGCAGTTGTTCACACTGTTAAATTATCAGCAGAGTCATTGGCACAGTGTGTCCCAGGCCAGCTTGCACTCTTCCAGGTGATTTCTCAGCACAATTCAGGCCAGAGATCATTCCCATGAGACAACCTTTGGAGGGTCTCCACCTGGAATGTGAGGGGATTTCTGCAATGTGCATATGGCAGTTTGTGCACTCGGCCTGGGAAGCAGGGTTCAGCCCCTGGTTAGCCAGAAAGATCATGACATGAAGACTTGTCACTTAGCCAGGAAGTTACTTGTGAGCTAAAACCTGGGAAGCAGAGAAACAGACCTTTTAACTCAGAATCCCGTGGTGCAAAGGAACACGCACCTCAAAACCAGGTGAGCACCTTGTACTTGTCTCAGTCTCACAGATAGTGGCAAACTGTGATGTTCTGTCTGTTCATACTGAGTCTAACAACAAGTTTGGAAACCAAAAGTGTTGCCTTGAAGACCTCTGAAGCTGCCCCCTATCATGAAGAAACACCTGGGATGTGTAAGCACGACCTTCAGCCCGGACACTCACCGCTTCCTCAGCCGCTTCCGGAACTCCTGAAGCTCCTTCCTTAAAGCTGTTAAAGTGGGGGAAACAACAAACATTCAAATACCCAACACTGTAAAATATAGTCCCCAAAAGAAGATAACGCAAAATAGCCACTGCCAATGGGCTGTTTACCACCTGTGTTGTTTTTTTTTCACATTTTACAAACGAAAGATCATGAAACTTAGAGCGGTTTTCTCTGCCAAACTCGTGTCCTGTGAGTAGCACTGAAGTGAAGTTCATCACTTCCTAGAGGGCTTTCCATTCTTTCTAGAGGGCACTCTAGAAACCCACTATTTTCCAGCCACGTTAGGATGTTTGATCCAGCTGTATTTGACATGACAAAATAATTTTCTAGCACAAATGATTCCACCGTTATTAATTTGAACAGCTCAAACAGTCTGTCACTTGACCCAAAGGTAAACAACAAGCAGAAAGAGATGACAGAACATTAAAGATTCATTAACCTTTCTCTTCTTTTAATTTTATAAGTTTGGGGTTGTAATAATGTGATAGACAAAGCAGTATTAACTATCCCTCCCCCCAAAAAAAAAACCACAACAAAACCAAAACCCAAAAAATCTAACCCTGACTTACCATCAGCAGGATGAACAGGAACATATTTTGCTTTCTTCTTAAAGCCAACTGGTAGTTTATGAGAGAAAAGAGAGGAAAAACAAGCCATGAGATGAGCAAGGTCTTAGAAGGAAAGAATCACAAAAGGAAAGAATCATAGAATGATTTGGGTTGGAAGGGACTTCAAAGACAATCTAGATCCAACCCCCTGCATGGGCAGGGACACCTCCCACCAGCCCAGGCTGCTCCAAGCCCCATCCAACCTGCCCTTCAACACTGCCAGGGATGGGGCAGCCACAGCTTCCCTGGGCAACCTGGGCCAGGCTCTCACCACCCTCATAGTGAAGAATTTCCTCTTCATGTCCAACCTCAATCTCCCCTCTTCCAGTTTTCATCCATTCCCCTTGTCCCATCCCTCCCTGTCCTTGCCAAAAGTCCCTCCCCAGCTTTCCTGGAGCCCCTTCAGGCACTGGAAGATGCTCTAAGTCTCCCTGGAGCCTTCTCTTCTCCAGGCTGAACACCCCAACTCTCCCAGCCTGTTAACACTGATAACACTCACACTGGCACCAGTAAACCAAGAAGAAATCCCAGCCTGGATTTCCTTGTCAATCTGACACTGACTCCTTGTCATCTCCATCTCTAAATGATTTTGTTACAATCAATTCTGTGCTTACTAGATACTCTACACAGTGGAGGAGACTGTTCCTGCTCTCTCAATGTTCTGATTTAAGCAACAGTAGGAAATACTAACTCTTCTTTCAGAGATGGGGAGCCAAGGTGCAGGGATTATCTGGCCACATGCAGTTAGTTGCCTTGTGAACTTCACAGGTGAAGTGGTGAACTCAACACAGGAGAAATGGACACTTCCAACATAGTCCACCTGCTGCTCAAGTAGATTCCATGAATATGTCAGTTCTATTTTATGCACAAAGTGCCCGTTTCTCTCCACTGACTCTTAACAGGAAGCAGAGGATTAGGTGAGGTGAACACCACAGACATCTGAAGTGAAGTGGCATGGATCCCTTCCAAAAGACTGATCATAGAATCACAGAATCATTTTGGCTGGAAAAGACCTTTAAGATCATCAAGACCAACCATGAACCCAGCACCTTGCTGGACCACCATTAACCTGTGGTCTATGTACCACATCAATGCATCTTGTAAATCCCTTCAGGGATGATGATTCAACCACTTAGATTTTCTTCTTCTCATTGGGTAATGATAGTTGCTTTTGAGTTGGAGATCTTTCATGAGAGACACCTTACAGCTTAAAAGACAAAGCTGTGCTGATGGAGGTACTAGAATACTTTAAACTAGGTTTATGTACCTGTTCAGAAACCAAATCTGTGAAGGAAAGGGACCACCATGACCAACACTATGGTGAAGAACTCAGACCTGAGAACCATCAAGGATGTGCTTCTGGGTGTCACAGCAGCAAATCATTCAACATCATGAAGAAAGGATTGAGCCAATAGAACACTAAATCCAGAGTGCCTGATCATGATCCAGTGTGGTGACCACAATACCACTTTTCTCCCCCTTGCCTTAAAGCTTCTACTGTCACAAAGCCACCAAAGTAGAGTCACAGAAGATCTCCAGCCCTCAGGGATGGCAAAAACACACCTGCACACCAAGGATACGAGGACAGTTCTCTGGACACACACCTCAGAGAAAATCAAAGCCAATTACATGGAAACACAGGACCTTTGGAGAACAGTCAGTCCTACCTTGGATGATCTTGAGGCCAGCAGAACATGAGGCTTCCCCATATTCATTCACAGCAGAGCAACTATAGAGGTCACTGTCAGAGGTCGTGAGGTGGTTTATCTGAAAGAGAAGGACAGTGCAAGAGCTGGCAGGGATGTGCTTCAGGTCACACACCTTCAGCTTCATTAGAAGCTACTCTATCATTCATTAGGAAGAATGTGGGCAGCAGCTTGAAGGAGGTTCTCCTCTTCCTGTACTCTGCCCTGGTGAGGCCCCTTCTGGAGAACTGTGCCCAGTTCTGGGCTCCCCAGTTCATGAAGAACAAGGAGCTACTGGAGAGGGTCCAGGGCAGGGCCCCCAAGTGCTGAGGGGACTGGAGCACCTGCCTGTGAGGAAAGGCTGGGAGAGCTGGGGCTGTTCAGCTGGAGAGGAGGAGACTGAGGGGGGATCTCATCAACCCTCCTCAATATCTCCAGGGGTGTCAGCAGGATGGGGCCAGACTCTTCCCAGCAGTGCCCAGTGACAGGACGAGGGGCAATGGGCACAAACTGGAGCACAGGAGGTTTATCCTAAATGTAAGAAAATACTTCTTGACTGTGGGGGTGACAGCCCTGCCCCAGGCTGCCCAGGGAGGTGGCAGAATCTCCATCCCTGGAAATATTCCAGACCCACCTGGATGTGTTCCTGTGGGATCTGCTTTACAGGATCCTTCTCTAGCAGGGGGTTGGACTAGAAGATCTCCAGAGGTCCCTTCCACCCCCCAGCACTCTGTGATTCTGTCATCTCAGACCTTTCTTCTGTCCTCAGAATGACTCTAAAAAGCTTTGTTTGCTTTTTTGTTGTGTTATCTCAGGTGTGAGGACACCTCTATCAGCCCACTGTAGGTTTTCCCTTCCATTGCTCCCTCTGTCCCATGAGTTCTATCTGAAATATTTTCTTTTTACCTGCAGGGTGAATTCATTTGTTGTGCTATTGAAGAAGGTTTCATATTTGGCAGGATTATCCATTCCCCCTAGCATACGTGTCCATTTTACCTCAGGGGTTGGGACTCCTTTGACCACAGCTCTGAAAATGGCGTTTTTACCTTTGAAAAGAGCAGGAAATTAGTTATTTAAGACAGGTTTGAACATGAGGACTCTCATGTCAGGTCCCTTATGTTATCAATACAGTGATCCCCAGAGAGAGCCATGTCTTGTTTTAAGCAGACACATTCTTCAAACATAACTATATCTTTTTGTTTTCTCCATAAAAGGGAATTTACTCTTTCATTTTAGCCCAATTTACTGCAAGACACCTGCCATAATCTCCACCCTAACTCACTGGCTTTCAAAGAGAGTAATTGAAAACTAACTTTAAAATTTACCACTGATACATTTGGTCTCTGCCTGTGTTTTTATTGCACAGGATAGAGAAATTATACACCCAAGACAGCAATTTTTTGGTATCTTGCTCTGATTTTCAACTCTCCCAAACTTTATGCACTACTTGTACCACAGCCATCAAATGCCCAAATCCATTCTCATCACTTAGAAATCCCCCTACAAGGTCTCATTGTTTTTCTGTTCTTTTAGACTACTCCTTTGGTTCTGACCATGCTAGGCAGGATGTTAAATAACAAAGGACTCACTGTGCTGGACAGTCCTGTCTCTGGATATCAGTAAAGTTCAGCTGTGAAAAGTTGCAGCTTCTAATCTCTTTTTCATTTGGATAAATTTGGATTTTTTTAGGGGTTGAAAACAAGAAAATAACCCTCTTAATACTTAAGAGCTTGTGACCTTAACAGACACCACTGTTCCCCAACTGGGAGGACCCTTGCAGGATGGGGGGCTTCCCCATGTACTCCCTCCATGCCATGTTCCTGAAATCCCTTCCCTGTCTGATGGCCTAGCACCACCTGGCACTCCAAACACACCAGGCACACCATGCTACTTGAAGAGGCATGTAAGGGAGAAGAGGAAGGGGTTCACCTGGGAGCTCTGTCCTGCTCCCCTAAGAACCTGAGCCTCCAACAGCTTTACCCCTGCCATGTACAACCCTTCCCCTTTTTCTTCCAAAAGGCTTCAAAGACACAGCAAACACAATGAAACACCAAATCAGAGAAGTGACTCACGCAGGTAAGTGGGAGTGTCACAGAAATGGAGATGAGTTCCCCATGGATCTAGCTTAGGGTGGAAATGATTACTATCTTTCTTTTGCAATGGGTTTGGTCTTCAGGTGACCAACACTGTAAAAAATTCTCCCCAGAAAGTCTTGCAATATTTCTCCCACCCTTCTGTACTCACCACCAAAACACGTATTTGATGCAGCAAGTTCCTGCTGACAGATTCTTATAAAAAGCCATTTTCCAGCTCTTTCTGGGACTGCAGCACTGTCTGCTATTGAAGTCTGGTCCCAGTTGGTTACACTTTTCTCAAATGTTAGCCATTCTGGCTTCAATTTCTCATGTTTGCCATCTGTCACAGGACACAACTCCACAGCTGAGGGGATCAGCTGATCCATGCACTGAACACAATGGGCTGATGAGGGTGTAACTAAGGACACTCCTCATGCATCTTCAAAGACACTTTACACCAACCTGAATGCCCTAAGAGATTGTACCTAACCACAGGGAACCTACTGTAAATCACAGACTGGAAGGGACCCTAAAAATTATCTAGTCCCAACCCCCTGCATGGGCAGGGACACCTCCCACCAGCCCAGGCTGCTCCAAGCCCCATCCAACCTGCCCTTCAACACTGCCAGAGATGGGGCAGCCACAGCTTCCCTGGGCAACCTGGGCCAGGCTCTCACAACCCTCATAGCAAAGAATTCCCTCCTCATCTCCAACCTCAATCTCCCTCTCCCACTTTTCATCCCCGCCCCTCATCCCATCCCTCCCTGCCCTTGTCCCAAGCCCCTCCCCAGCTTTCCTGGAGCCCCTTCAGGCACTGGAAGCTGCTCTGATGTCTCCCTGGAGACTTCTCTTCTCCAGGCTGAGCAACTCCGGCTCTCCCAGCCTGGCTCCAGAGCAGAGCTGCTCCAGCCTCTGATCACCTCTGTGACCCTTCTCAGAAAGAACTGAGAAAACTTGGGGTGACTGCCCACTGTCATGGCCCACACCTGAGTCTTTCAAGTGGAAGGTGGAGGAGGGATGTACCACTAGAGGCCACTGTGATCCTTCATCAAACCTCGATGGCCAGTGAAAATGCTCAGCTGGGTGTGACAACACTGAAATCCAGGGTCCTAGAAATGGTTCAGTCTTGTGAGGGAAAAGGAGCTACAACATCTCCTCAGGCTATTCCACTCAAAACACAAAACCAAACCAAACCAAAACACTCTCGGCAAGTGCAGAGAGATTACTGGAAGGCTTCCCACTGATTTTAGGCCTTGGCTCATTAGCTGCCTTCTCTGTGCTCCATGCAAGATCTTCATAGCTCCTTGAAGAAGTACAGCCCAAACAGCACCTGCAGTCAGCATATATTACTTTTAAAAGCAGCTAATTTTAGTGCTGAACCTTCAAATTAGAAGTTACTTCAACAGGAAGAAACAACTTTTTCAATGTGCTTAATCTTTTGCTTCAAAATACTTAGAGACCCTTCTGCAGAATTTCCAGGACTTGCATACATTTGGAGTCAGATTTTGTTCTTGCATCCACTAGTGAAAACTCAGGAGACCTCTATCAGTACTGATGGAACTTTATCACTACAAGAAAGACTCTGGCCACACAATACTTTTTCTGGTCTAGTCAAGACTCTTCAGGAACTACCTTCATTCACTGTTAATTTTTTCATGGGCTGAGATGTGGAATCAAACCTTCATGTCTGCAGCTTTTCACTGGTTGTCATAGAATGGTTTGGATTGGAAGGAACTTCAAAGATAACCTAGTTCCAACCTCCCTGCATGGGTAGGGACACCTCCCACCAGCCCAGGTTGCTCCAAGCCCCATCCAACCTGCCCTTCAACACTGCCAGGGATGGGGCAGCCACAGCTTCTCTGGGAAACCTGGGAGAGGGTCTCACCACCCTCACAGCAAAGAACTTCCTCCTCATGTCCAACCTCAATCTCCCTCTTCCAGCAACAGCTTTTTTGGGAAACCTGGGCCAGGGTCTCACCACCTTCATAGTGAAGAATTTCCTCCTAATATTCAACCCAAATCTCTCCTCTTCCAGTTTAAAACCATTATCCCTCATCCCACCACTACACATCCTTGTAAATTCCTTTCAGGAATCTCACCTTCCTGCAGTGTCAGAGAGAGAGGCTTCTTCTCAAAGTCAGGAGTACTGCATCCTTTTGGAACGTCCTCCACAAACTGGGTGATAAGAACACCTGGGATGGAAGATTTCTTCAAGGATTTTACTGTAAAGGCAAAGAAAAATATATTCAATTAGGATAATATTTAGAACTTGGTCCTTTAGAAACCATCTTACAACCTTCATTGCATCTCCTTAGAATAGTAGCTGTTCCTGCTTAGCTCCTCTTGGGCCAGAAAGGACCCATCCATTCCTGTACTGCAGCCTGTCAGTGTGTCCAAAGGCTGGAGCATTAAGGTCTGTGATTTTGTGCTGAATTCATTCAAAACTAGAGACCAAGTGGGAAAATCTTCAACCAAGATCACAATCCAGGGCCACAGAGAATCATAGAATGGTGAGGGTTGGAAGGGGCCTCCTGAGATCATCTAGTTCAACCCCCCTACTAGAGCAGGATCCCCTAGAGCAGATCCCACAGGAACACACCCAGAGGGTTTGGGATGTCTCCAGGGATGGAGACTCCACCACCTCCCTGGGCAGCCTGTCCCAGGGCTCTGTCACAAGTTCCTCCTCATGTTCAGCTGGAACCTCCTGTACTCCAGTTTGTGCCCAGTGCCCCTCGTCCTGTCACTGGACACTGCTGGGAAGAGTCTGGCCCCATCCTGCTGACACCCCTGGAGATATTGAGGAGGGTTGATGAGATCCCCCCTCAGTCTCCTCCTCTCCAGCTGAACAGCCCCAGCTCTCCCAACCTTTCCTCACAGGCAGGTGTTCCAGTCCCCTCAGCACTTGGTGGCCCTGGGCACAGTTCTCCAGAAGGGGCCTCACCAGGGCAGAGAAAAGGGGGAATAGAACCACATCTGCTTACAGGTCTAGTGATGATTAAGAGTGCTTTACAACAGTTATTTTCCAAATAAATCTTCAAAATTTGGCTTGAGAAAGACACTGTTGGAAAGCTCAGCAGAACCTGATGTGCCAGTTACTTGTGTCTCTCTTCGTGGTGGTGACAGACAGATACCAAATTTCCAGATAAGACAAGGAACTTGGACTTATTCTCAGGGGCAGTCCAGGTGGTGCTCATGGCTCTGTCTGTTCTCTCACCTTCCTGCCGGCTCTTCATGCTGCTTCCCTCAGCTGCCTGTGGTCAGCACAGACAGGCTACAGGTTCTTCCTGTGAAAAACACAAGTTGTTTCATTACTTACAGTTCACAAGAGAAATGACAGACATTCCTACTGCACATTTTTCTGATGCAATTTGCCCATCCTCACCTGCCACATCCTAGCAGCCAGGTTGGGAATGACCTGCCAATCAACACATTGAATCATGGAATGGTTTGGGTTGGAAGGGACCTTAAAGATAACCTAGTTCCATCCACCTTGCCATGGGCAGGGACACCTCCCACCAGCCCAGGTTGCTCCAAGCCCCATCCAACCTGCACTTCAACACTGCCAGGGATGGGGCAGCCACAGCTTCCCTGGGCAGCCTGGGCCAGGCTCTCACCACCCTCACAGCAAAGAATTTCCTCCTCATCTCCAACCTCAATCTACCCTCTTCCAGTTCTAATCCATTCCCTCTTGTCCAGTGACTCCCTGCCCTTGTCCCAATTCCCTTCCCAGCTTTCCTGGAGCCCCTTCAGGCCCTGGAAGGCTGCTCTGAGGTCTTCCTGGAGCCTTCTCTTCTCCAGGCTGACATCATGACAGTTTTGAAACAACAAAACCAGCACAAATGGCTAGCAGGGCTAAATGGAAAATGTACACATTTAACAGCATCCCTGCCACCTCTTCCTTTTTCATTTCACCTGGCTTTCCTCCAGAGACCTCCTCTCGTGTTTCAGGCAAATATTACACCGCATGGCACTCACGTGGTGAGTTCTGATGGATGGCAAGAGCAGTTGCTGAGAAGAAAACCATGGAGATGGATGTCTAAACTGGGGCATGAAGCAGAAGCACATCCTGATCCAAATTAGCTTGTCTAAATTAGCAACAGACCTGAGAGCAGACTATAAGCTACTACTTTAGAAGGAAATGGCAAAGTGTGAACTTGGCATTAACTTGTTATTGTTGTAGATCACTCATGTGACCTTCTGCCCAAGGTGTCTCTTTCCC